CTTTTTCTGAGTACAGAGCTTGTACCGCTATTATAAGGAGCCCCGCAAAGACTGGCCTCTGTGATAAGGCCAGTGGGCTGAGTGGTGAGGCTGATGTGATCTGTCACCTAAGAGTGGGAGTGATGCCACCTGGGACCTAGCCACTTATGGCTGCCATGTCTTCAGGTGCAAACTCAACTGAAAGGGTGGTTGTCTCCTCTGTCTAGGTCTTTAGAACCTAGGAACTGCCTCATTCGAAACAGGAAAAACATCCTTGGTTAATGCAAACATTTATTGAGAACCTACTATTTGTCAGGCATGATATTAGATACTCATGTATATCATCTCATTTAATCATCACAACAATTCATAACAGCCTTCTGAACCATTTTGCCATCATTATTGCCATCTTACACATAATGAAGCCAAGATTAAGTAACTTGTTGAAAGCTATCTAAAACATGACTGGGCACAGTGGCTCATACCTGTAATCCCAGCATTTTGGGAAGCCAAGGCAGGTGGATCATTTGAGGCCAGGAGTTCGAGACCAACCTGGCAAACATGGCGAAACTCCATCTCTACTTAAAAAAAAAAAAAAGATACAAAATTAGCCAGGTGTGGTGGCCCACACTTATAATCCCAACTACTTGGGGGGTTGAGGCGCAAGAATCTCTTGAATTGAGGAGGTAGAGGTTGCAGCGAGCCGAGATCGCGCCATTGCACTCCAACCTGGGCAACAGAGCAAGCCTCTGTCTCAAAATAAATAAATTAAATTAAATAAAACAAAATTAAAGCTATCTAAAAGGTAATTAGTCCTGAGACGACATACAGCTCAGGTCTGTCTGATTCAGAAACATAGTAATTACATATTATGGCAGATGGGAAAAGATGTTTATTGCAGCTTCGTTTGCAATAACAAAACACGAAAACAACCTAAATGTTGTTAAGCAAAAAAAAAAAAATCACGCTGCGATGTGCACATAAATGAATACAGACTTGTGTGTGTGTTGGGGGAGGGGCACACACACTCCTCTGTGTGTCTAAAATATTTCCAGAGGGAGGATACCTTCTGGAAGGTGAACTAGAAGGCTAGTATGGGTGGGAGATTTCTTTTTCACTCTGTTTTTGTACTGCTTGGAGTTTTAATTTTTTTAAGGAGTGTATGTATTAAATCATTACTGTTTCTAAACTTTTAAAAACCAATGTAAATCCTATCCTCACTACTCCACTGCCTCATTGAAGGCGGGAGAAAGTTATCCCCCATGGTAGCCCCCTCTGCACTGCCAGCCTTCCAACAGGAACGTCAGTGGCATTGCCTGACCCTCCTCACTTTGCCAAGCGCCCCCACTCACATCAGTCTTTCTCATTTAAGCCTCATACCACCTGTGGAATGGGTGCTGTCTCGTCTGATGTGAATGAGCCTGAGGCTCGGGGCGGACGCCTGGCCAAGGTACAGCCAGTGAGTGGGAGAGTGAGGACTCATACACAAGCCTGGAGTCCATACATCCCAGGAGGAGGAGAGTGGGCCTTCACCTTGATGTTTCCATTGAGGTGGCTGTGGCCATGACACATGGTAAACTTATAATCATTGGAAGACAAAATTATTTGCTTTGAAGATAGACATCAAATCCTGGCTTTGCCACAAATTAGTTATGTGATCTTGGTCAAGTCACCAAATCTCTATATGCTTATTTTTGCATGTATAAAACTGGAATAATAGTACCTGTCTTATAGGATTATGGTGAGGGTTCAATGAGAATATACAATATGTAAATATAATATATATCAATATATAACTATAGGTACTATTAATGAAGAATATGTGCACATGTTTGTGTAGCTATAGCATTTAGCATGGAGCCTGGCACCAAAAAAAGGGCTTAAATAATGTAGCTAGTATTATTGTGCACACCTATGGTTGCCTCCCAAGTAAGAGGTGAGTGATCTCAAGGTTCTTTTTTTTTTTTTGAGACAGAGTCATGATCAGTCACCCAGGCTGGAGTGCAATGATGCCATATCAGCTCACTGAAACCTCCACCTCCCAGGTTCAACCGATTCTCCTGCCTCAGCCTCCCGAGTAGCAGGGACTACAGGCACCCACCATCATGCCCAGCTAATTTTTGTATTTGTAGAGACGAGGTTTCACCATGTTGGTCAGGTTGGTCTTGAACTCTTGACCTCAGGTTATCCACCTGCCTCAGCCTCCCAAAGTTCTGGGATTACAGGTGTGAGCCACAGCACCTGGCCTCAAGGTTCTTACTGCTCTGTTCACACACCAAAGTTGGGGTCTTCTGAGGACAAATAGAGACAGACCTGGGTCCCTGTCTGCCCACAGCCACATGGGGGTTTGTCTTTGAGGTGAGCCTGACTGCACAAACCCAAGGCCTTTCATAGGCAGGCAGTATAGGTCCCTTCTAGATGGAGCATTCCAGTCTAGATTGAGATGGAACTCCACAGGAGTCCTTTGAAAGAAGGCTTTGAGTGCCCACACCATGCCAGCTCTGTGTCAGGCATCCTTTCTAGGTGCAGAAGCGGTAGCTTTCATGGTGTATTAGAGCATTAATATGGAGCCTAGGGATCTGCGTTCTAGTTCAGGCATTAAACCAGTTAGACTATATAATTAGAGGTTTGAAATATACTGGCGATTACTAACAGATTTAAACAGATTTAAAATACTGCAGGTCCAAGCAATAAATCATATTTTGTTAAATTCCTGTTTTTAAGTAGTTTTCTTTCTCTGTTCATTGACTTTGAAACTTTCTTTTCTCAGCCTGTTCTTTTTTCTTGGAAAAATCCGAATTCTGTTGTTTGGCAATGTTGTCTTTAATGTCCTTGTTTTTCCCCTCTCCTTTTTTTTTTTTTTTTTTTTGATACGGGATCTTGCTATGATGCCCAGGCTGGTCTCAAACTCCTGGGCTCAAGTGATCCTCCCACCTCAGCCTCTCAAGTAGCTGGGATTATAGGCACAAGCCACCACATTCAGCATCCTCTACTGTTTTGATTCCTAGAAGTTTCCAGTTGTGTGTTTATGAAGGTATTTCTGTGCCTTGTCTTCCCAAGGTCTGGCCTTGGAAAATAATAGAAGAAAATTATATTGCTGATATTATCAGTATAAAGTAAAAGTGTGCCAAAGCATACAGCCATTAAAGAACACAATGGATAACATCTTCATAGAATGGATGCCCAATTTTATCAAAGATGGAGGACAGTGATGGAAGTTGGTGAGGATTCTTGGTCCTCTTTAGCAGTATTTCAAGTATAACCTTGTGTAGCCACCAAATTCCTTTTGCCTCTTGGAAAGAGACTTGAGTAATGGTCATGTTGACTTTAACACTTTTTCTATGTCTGTTCACTGGGTTGTGTGCTATTCTACAATTGAAGGTTTTGCTTGTGAACATATGAATTATATACTCCACCAAAAAGTTCTGTTTTGCTCCTTGTATATACCATAAAAACTGTGTGCTTTTAATGAATATTGCTGTATTTTTTCCCTAGGTAAAACTGTTGTAATTGATGACTTAATTTTCAGAAGTCAGTTCCTTCCATTTAAGTTTTTATCTTCTTAAAACTTACTTTAGATTTGTTTTTCATTCTCACTTTAGTGTTTACCTGAGTTTTGCTCTTCGCATAACCACACACATATTATAAAGGGCCTTCATGTGGAAGCTTTTTACTTAAGTCCAATGAAATAGAAAACTCTGCACATTTAAAAATATACATTTAAAATTGTTTTTTATTGTTTTATTGGGCAGTACGAAATACAGTCAAGGCAGATTCCTACAGACTTGTAAATTCATCTCAGCAGTCCCTTATGCCTAAAGTTTGCTCAACCCCATTTATATTCACTACTACCATTCACTCTTTACCACTAATATCTTCCCTGCTGTCTAATCACTAATATCTTCCCTCCTGTCTAATCACTGAGTTAAGGGAAAAATAGTCATTTACTTACAGAAATATAATGGGTATTAATAACAAAATTCCATTTCCCAATTAAAAGCTATGTCAAAGAAAAAAAACAGTAGAGGCATTATTTAAAACTTCTAAATGGCCTTGTGAGTATAGTCTTAGTTTAGCTTCCTTATTTTTTTGTATGCCCAACCTGAAATGACATCATCCCATATCATCACAGTATGTTGCTTTTTCAGTATGAAGTTAATGGGCTTTCCTGCTGTTTAACTGCTTTGAGATTTTAAAAATGCATTCAGCTACATAGTATTCAAAGCATGGAGCTGGGCACCACAAAGATTTGGGCCTGGCATCACCCAGAAGCTCAAGGAAGGGAGCGGATGAGCACTTTCTCCATTATACATAGTACTTGATTGTTCATGGAATACAAATTTAAATATAAATGAACTATATATAAATGCCATAATAAAAAGTATACGAAAGTGCTTTGGAAGTACAGATAAGAAAAGTGACACTTGTAGCCTGAGAATCAGGGAAGAATGGTCCTTCGACGACTTGAAAGAAAAAATGGACAGAATTAAGGCAAAGACGTGAGTACTAGCTTTTCAGTCTGAGGCAGAGTGGAGATCGAGCACAGCAAGAGGTTTGGTTGGTGCCTATATCACAAACAAGATTTAACAGGAAGTTGGATTAGCAATTGAGCCTTAAATGCCAGGCTAAAGATTTATGATTTATTATAGAAGCAGTGGAGTTAGTGGAGACGTTTTAGTGATGTATCCTAGCTGATATCTAAGGAAGATTAATCTGGCAGGACTTGTGAAGTAGAGGGTAGGCTGGCAGTGGAGAGAATACTTAGAAGGTAGAGGTGGGCTGAGTGTAGTGGCTCATGCCTGTAGTTCCAGCACTTTGGGAGGCTGAGCTAGGAAGATCACTTGAGACCAGGAGTTCAAGACCAGCCTGGGCAAGTGAGACTCCATCTCTGCAAAAAATAAAAAATAAAATTAGTTGGGTATGGTGGTGCATGCCTGTAGTCTTAGCTACTTGGGAGGCTGACACATTAGGATTGCTTGAGCCCAGGAGTTGGAGGCTGAAGTGAGCTATGATCAGGCCACTGCGCTTCAGCCAGATGACGAAGCAAGACCCCGTCTCTATTAAAGAAAAGAAAAAAGAAGGCAAAGGTGAAACTAAATAAAGAATCCTGGTGAGGGACCCTACAAAGATAGGATCAGTTGATGAGGCAGCCACCAGCATGAGAGTCAAAAGAGACCAAAGAATAAGAAATGATGTCAAATGTCAAGGATGGCAATACCACTCACAGAAACAGGGAAGATGGCAATTTAAAGAGCTTGAAGTAGCAATAAGGCAAATGGAAATGTCATTTTCCATAAAGAATTGTGATATCTTTTCTCCTGCATTAACGTTTTTTAAATACTGATAAAGTATTTTTAAAAATTACTAATGCTGACTGGCTCAGTGGCTCACGCCTGTAATCCTAGCACTTTGGGAGGCCAAGGCAGGCGGATCACTTGAGGTCAGGAGTTCAAGACCAGCCTGGCCAACATGGTGAAACCCCATCTCTACTAAAAATACAAAAATTAACTGGGCAGTGGTGGTGTAATCCCAGCTACTTGGGAGGCTGACCTGGGAGGCGGAGGTTGCAGTGAGCCAAGATAGCACCACTGCATGCCTGTCTGGGTGATAAAGTGAGACTCAGTCTCAAAAAAAAAAACTAATGCTTTTGTAATGTTTGACCTTTGAAGCATATTTCTTAGGAGCTCAGAAATGGAGCTCCTTGCACTATGCATGTGTTGTCCGTGAAAACAGACGTTCTCTGTGATGGCTGTCCTTGTTCTCTAAGATGATTTCACTATTTATTTTGTAAGGTAAGCAGTAGAGTGATTTCTGATTTTTGACATGAGAAAATAAAGGAATGGGTCTAAGCAACTATTAAGGCTGCCCAGGCACAAAGCTATGAGATATATAAAATATAAGCCATCAGTGTTGTTGTAGTAGTAGTTAGCATGGTGAATAATAAGTATAATATTGCTTGGAGCAAAGCAAATGGTAAAAATCACAAGGATGAGGAGACTCGCCTTAACATACCACAACCATCTATGATCATATGCACTAAGTGTCCGGATGATGGCAGTGTAGCAGTAGATGATAAGCACAAATGGAATTAAGAATCCAAAGAATGCCAAGGAGATGAAGTAGTAGAGTTGGAAGGGAGACGAGGACTCGCATGTGTCGTGAACATCATGGCAGGTGGTGATGTCTGGCTGAACAAGATAATATTCCTGCTTCAGGATGAAAAATGGCAGCATATATAAGAAAACTGTTGCCCACACCAGTCCACATGTTACCAAGGCATAGGTGTGCTTGGGCAGGCCCCGGTAGGTGAAAGGATGGACGATGGCCAGGTAGCGATTGATGCTGATGCAGGCAAGGAGCAGAATGGAGCAGTACATGTTGCCATAGAAGATGACTGTGGTAGCCCGGCACAGGACCTCTCCAAATACCCAGTTGTTCCCATTGAGATGGTAAGCTATCTTAAAGGGCAATGTAACACAAAAAAGAAAATCTGCAATGGCCAGGTTGGTGTAGAATACGGTCGTACAGATGGATCTGGTCCTGAAGAAAAGCATCCACAGGGTTACGGCGTTGGCCGGGACACCAACTACAAACACCAGGAGGTAGATGGCAGGTATCAGTTTCGTACTTAAGGAGCTGGTCAGGTACCCCATGGTAGCATTTTTCACATGGAGATGTGAAGCACTTTCCTCAGGGCACTTAATTTTTACAGTAATGGTGGCTCCTGTCCAGCCTTCTAAGGCAGAAAAGGGGAACTCTTCAAAAGAATCTGGGGGAGCTCCACGAAAGGTCTTAATATGTAAGGTTGGCTTTGCCAAGTTGTTTGTATCATTTTCCATGCCTGTAATTGAAAGAAAGTATTAACATAAATTTATAGTTCAAGAAAAAAGAAAACAATGTGTTTAATTATTTATAAATAATTTCTGTGATTGTAGAATTTAAGATCACTTTTATTTTAAAAGTTATTATAGATTAGTCACTCAACAAGCATATATTTAATACATATCATATGCCCCAGAACAACACTGTCTCATGCAGAAACAAAAACTAAATGATCAGTCCTTGTGTGTGAGGTGTTTATAATACTATTGGAAGAAACAAAAAAGCCCATCAGAACATTATAGGCATGTTGACTATAAACTATATAGGCATTCAGACAATACTTAATAGATTCAGATGTTTGAGCAAAATGTCAAGGAAAAGATGAACTTGAGCAAAGATTAGCAAGGTTCATAAAAAGATGGAATTTAATGAGTAAGATTCTGCTGGTGATGAATGGGCAGAAGCATAATGTGGGCTATCATGGGTTCTGGGAATGCCAAATAAGTTGATTTAGCAAATTTTTATTGTATATTTATGTGTCAGTGGTGTAAAGTTTTAAATAAACTCCATTTCTATCTGTAAGTAGTGCTACTAGTGTAGAAGATGCATAAAAATGCATTGTCTTATGCTAATAAGGTGCATCTGAGAAAGGAAATTTAAAGAGTGAGTGACAGCTAAATTCCTGAAGGGCCTCTAAACTGTCCTAAGAAATCATGTCTATTCACAGATGCTGGGATTGCACACATAATTTTGAACAGAGGAATAACCATTGTGTTAGGCAGAATAATAGCACCCCCTAAGATTCCACCTGCTAATTCCTGGAACCTACAAGTATGTTCTTTTACCTAGCAAAAGGAATTTTGCAGATCTAACTTAGTTAAGAATCTTAAAATGAGATTTTCCTGGATTGTCTGGGTGGGTCATATATAATTGTAAGAGTCCATTTAAGGGGAAGGTAAGAGGGTCAAAGTCAGAGATTTGAAGACACTATGCTGCTGGCTTTGAAGATGGAAGAAAGGGTCATAAGCCAAGGAGTGCAGGCAGCTTCTAGAAGCTGAATAAAGCAAGATAGCTGAGTCTCTCCTAGAGCCTCCAGAATGAACCCAACTCCACCAATGGCCTTGATTTTAAGACCTCTGATCTCCAGAAATATAATCTGTTGTCTTAAGCCACTCAATTTGTAGTAATTTGATATAGCAGCAATAGGAAACTAATATAGCCATTATTGTGACTTGTTTTTAAGATGTCTTAGGTAATAGTTTAGAGAATAGATTGAAAAGGTAAGAAATTAGAAGCAAGGGGACCTGATTTGGAGGCTACTGTTACCATTCATAGCTCAGTAAGTTACTGAGCTAGAACAGTGGTCATGGAAAGGCAGAGGCGAATACATGAGACTCTGATGGCGGCTCAAAGGGACTTGGCATCTGATTGGCTTTGGGGTACAGTGAGGGAGAGGCAGGAAGCAATAATGACTCATGTTTCTACTCTAGATGACTTGGAGGGAGAGAATGCCATTAACTGAGTTGGAGGAAGAGACAAGGGGGCAGGATGGGGGAGAAGCTACAATCTGTTTTTAGTCTGACTGAGGGTGAGTTGCTGGTGGAATATTAGTGTGTAAAACATCCAGCAACTGGTTAGAAGACTAGATGTGGGTCCAAAATTCCAGGAGCCCAAATTAGAGGCATGGTTTATTGTAGTCTGCATGGAGGCTCTCGTTTAATTTAGTGGAAGTGGTTGAGATGGCCTAGGGAGAGTTATGAGAAGAAAGAATCCAAAGGTGGACTTTAGGGGTAATGACAGATTTTAAGGGAAGAGGAAACAAAGGAGGAAAAATCAGAAGATGAAATCGGTGTGAGGACCTAAGAAGCTGGAAATGAATTCTTTAAAAGATAGAAACACATCAACTATATGCTATCAATATTTGGTGTTACTTGGCATGTTGATGTTAATAATCCTAATTCCTGCAATTTCAAAAACAAAATCTTAAAGCTCAAACCTGAACATTTATTATTATATAACTTTTTGTAACCCTTTCACATGTATAAAAAATAGATTCTCTCAGATTTCTAATGTTACCTTTAAGATAGACTTCTATGCCAAATATAAACCTCATTCTTATGGATTTAAAATGCCAGTACTGGGCCATTGCATCTTGTCCCATGGCCTCAAAATTCCTCCATATTGAATGCTTGAAGTTAGTGTTTAGTAACCTGTGTCTCATACAGAGCCAGTTTCTCTTCCTGCTTTAATCTCTAGCAGTTAGCTCCTGGGTGAAATGGAAACCCTCCAAGTAAACCTGAGATTGCACAAACTGAATTCATGGAGTAAAATAGAGGAGGTGTGGCCTGATAACTTAGGGTATGGAGGTGATCAGGTATCATTTAAGAAAAGGTAGATTAGGCCGGGCTTGGTGGCTCAAGCCTGTAATCCCAGCACTTTGGGAGGCCGAGACGGGCGGATCACAAAGTCAGGAGATCAAGACCATCTTGGCTAACACGGTGAAACCCCGTCTCTACTAAAAAATACAAAAAACTAGCCGGGCGTGGTGGCGGGCGCCTGTAGTCCCAGCTGCTCGGGAGGCTGAGGCAGGAGAATGGCGTGAACCCGGGAGGCGGAGCTTGCAGTGAGCCGAGATCGTGCCATTGCACTCCAGCCTGGACGACAGAGCGAGACTCTGTCTCAAAAAAAAAAGAAAGAAAGAAAGAAAAGGTAGATTAAAGAAAAGGAAAGAAAAATGTGGGAGGCAGCATTCTTCTGTGCCTGTATTTAGAGGTGATCTTTGAAGGTGTGTGTGACACACAAACCCTTCTGCTCACTTCTGCATTTTGGAAAAGTTCTTGCATCTGACATTACCCAAAGAGAAGTGCCTTTAAAGATAGGCACAAAGGCCGGGCGCGGTGGCTCAAGCCTGTAATCCCAGCACTTTGGGAGGCCGAGACGGGCGGATCACGAGTCAGGAGATCGAGACCATCCTGGCTAACACGGTGAAACCCTGTTCTAACTAAAACAAAAAAATACAAAAAACTGGCGTCATCGCAGGTGGCGGGGCGCCTGTGTAGTTCCAGCTACCTCGGGGAGGCTTGAGGCAGGAGAATGGCGTAAACCGGTGAGGCGAGCTTGCCGGCACGTGGAGAAGATCCTGGCGCAACTGACTCAGCCCGCGGGGACAGAGCCGAGACCCCTCCCCCTGTCCTCAGAAAAAAAAACAACGAGAAAAAAAAAAAAAGATAGGCACAAAGTTAGAGAATGGTGGCTGAAGATCATGCCGTACAAGTTATTAGCCTGATTTTAAAAAGCTATTAAAACCAAGTGTCTGTCCGTTTACAGAAAATTTCTGGGATTTAGCAAGACATCATGCCTCCAGACATGCCAAACAGTGCCTGTGTTTTGTGGAAAAGTTGATTTGATTCCATTTTCCAAGAGAATGCCAGATCTGGTTCCACTTAAATAAGTCTTTTATTCCTCAGAGCCTGGTTTTCCTTATGAATTGTACTCATTGTTAAATTTTTTTAATATATTTTAATTCTTCATAGAGGCTTCCATTGGGCATAATGTTTCCAAAATGTTTTTCTGTCTGGGAAAAGGCCTTGAAGAACTAATCCAAAGGGAATGAACTCCGGCCTCTCGTGGGTGTCCAAAGGAGAGAATACTGTCGTGGATTCATTCACAGTTTCTGTTTCTAGTTGAGCCAGTAAAGCCCCTTCCTCATCCATGTTTTCCGTTTATCACTAGAGACAGAAACTAAAAACCATGGCTTCAGACTGCTAAAAGCCTAAAGCAAAACAAAACCACAACAAAATAAGGCAGGTTGGATGAGCTTGCTTCTTTCTTCCTTCACATTTCTCCCCCACCCCTATGGAAGAAAGCAAATTCACTGCCTCTTTGTTTCCTTCAGAGGCCCCCGTTTTCACCTCCATCAAACCCTACTAGTGTCTTGAAGGAACCACCCCTGAAAACTTTGTTTCTTTTGCAATTCTGCTTCTTAACATATTGGCCCATCTACTCCCAGAAAGAGCGTGCACTTACTGTATTCATAAATCCCACATGTGCTTACTGCTAATCACCACAGATTCTCTTAGAGCTCTCTGCAACAACTCAGGGATTCCAACTGTGAATATAAGCAATGTTCCTTTAGAAAGCATTATTTTCTGTTTTTGTTTCCCTTGCTATGTCCAGTCTTTGCCTCTCCCACTCCTAACAATGTTGACTGGAGTGTGTAACCTAATAAAAAGTGACAGGTACACACCTATCCCAAATTTGTTATTTTTGGAAAAAGCAGGAGGCTTCAGGCTAGCATTGTGATGGGTAAAGTGGAAAGTACATTCGAAGTTGGATAATAGTATTTGGGAGACCTTATTTCTAAAATTAAAAAATCATATATGAGGGTAGGGAGAACTCCCCACTGAAAGTCAAAAAAGGTCATTCATTTTGGAAATACTGACTTATTAGCATTGCCAGCTATTGAAAGCAGATGACTTCTTTCTGGCAATATTCTTGTTTCTCCCATTTATGTCTCATCAAGCGGTATAAACACAGGATATATTTTTTAATCCCTTGAAAAAGTGCCATCTTTGCTTAACCAGAAGAGAAAATTCTTACAAACACAAAACATCTTTCAAAATTGCTCCCTGACTTAATAGTAGACATCTAAAATCTTGAATATGCCACACATTTTTAAACATCAGGAGGGAACACTTAGTCTTTGACCAGGTTTGAATAGAGTGAATGAACTATAGATGTTCATTTCCATGGTTCTACCTTTCAATAATAAGATCAAACTGCCTTTGGGGTTTGCAGTTTGTGTGAGATGCAAAGAAAGCTAGGTTCAGTTGACTCTTAATTTGTAACAGGAATGCACGTCCCCATCCTACCCCCTGAGAAAATTGCTTACCGCTCTGACAAAAAGTGGGCAACAGAAGCAGGAGGCCAGCAGCTGCAAAGTTGAGGGCTTTCATTTTGATGACCTGAGTCTCGTCTCTTGAACGTTATGAAATGTATACAATCATGGAGCACAATTTCACCTCAGTTCCATGTGTCAGCAGCAAATGGAAGCCTTGGTCTGTCTGTAGAAGTTTGCTCTCCTGTGCCGAGCAGGCAGGAAACTTGCACTGGTCCGCCGTAGGGAAAGGATGTAACCCACTCGATGCTTCAGTAAACATGACTCAGGCCAAGCCTCTGAGTGTGTTACGTTATCCCTGGAGAAAGGCATTTAACTCTTACCCACTCCCAACAATCTATTCTGAATAGGTGCTGTAATTCTCCCCTAGTATATTTGCATTTAAAGAATGGCAGAAATTACCGCAGGCCTTTACAGAACTAAGCCAAAAACAGATGTTGAGCAGCAGTAAGTTTTGAATCTGTCCCATCTTTCATTTCTTATCCATTTTAAAAATGCAGTTCCAGAGTGTAATTTCTGCTTAATAAATTATCCTTTCTTTTATCTTCCCAGCTATTTCAAATCTTAATTCTTAAACACCTTATATAATTATAAATTAATCATGGAAAACAAACATTTTTTAAGAAATTCAAACTGAGTGGTCAATTACTTTGAAAATTTTCCATCAATATCATATTGATTTGAATTTGTCATCAGTGCCTGGCCAGAACCTGGCTTTTGAGTGGTGGTGGTTTTTCTTTGCTGGGTGAGGATGGGGTTTGTTCGGGCCTTTTGTTTTTTTTTTGTTTTTTTTGTTTTGTTTTGTTTTTTGCCTTATCTTGATGTGTTTTGAGCCATTCAGTAACCCTTAGGGTCAGATAACTGGAGGAACCTCCCAAACAACACTGTTCAATTAAACTAAAATCATAGCACGTCATTAAAATGAGGAGAACTCCCTTTATTCCATGAGTGCTGATGAATAAGTCTACAATAAGATATTTTTAATAAGGGTAAAATATACATAACATAAAATTTACTATCTTAACCAGTATTAAGCATATGGTTCAGTAATGTTAAATACATTCACACTGTTGTACAACATATAAGCTTTTATGAATTGTTATATTCTGTAGAGTATGACTTAAATACAGTTTAAAAAATGCATTATAACAGATTTTTCTGTAGTAAATAAAACTTAAACTTGAAGACTTACCACCCCACTGCCTGCTTCTTACAAAATGCAGCAAGAATCAGAAAATACAAATTTCACATGAGACTTAAAGGCCAGGGATAAGCTAGGAAGAAATTGATCTGCGGAAACCTTTCAAATCTTGATTAAATTACATTAGACCAAGATTTTTACAAAGGTCAGTGTTTAATACTTCAACTACATAATATATGGTTATACAAACTGAGATTGAATGCTATTATATTGCAGAAATAAAAAACATAAAATATTGACAAAGGTTTTTTCTGTTTAATTAGAACTTTTCTGGGAGTTATCTAAATTCAGGAATTTATGACGATTTGCACATGGCCTAGTTTCTGGTCATTTAATTCATTTTTAACTCTTCCGTTGAACCTGGCTGTTTAACTGAAGTGGAGGTGTGGCCGTCCCATAAATATACTATTATTTTCAGTCTTCTGGCGAACAACTGAAAAAGCAGACTTGGCCGGTCGCAGTGGCTCACGCCTGTAATCCCAGCACTTTGGGAGGCTGAGGTTGGGGAGATCACTCGAGGTCAGGAGTTCGAGACTGGCCTGACCAACATGGTGAAACCCCATCTCTACTAAAAATATAAAAATTAGCCAAGTGTGGTGGCAGGTGCCTGTAATCCCAGCTACTTAGGAGGCTGAGGCAGGAGAATAGCTTGACCCTGAGAGGCGGAGGTTGCAGTGAGTCAGCCTGGGTGACAGAGCAACACTCCATCTCAAAAATAAAATAAAATCAATAAATTAAGAAAAAGCAGACTTTACATTGATAAGATTCAGCTTTTACTCTTGGTTTTACATTTAACTCTAGCAACCTTTAGTTCAATGTTTCATAATTTAAACTGTTGACTTAAATTCATCTGATTTGTAATTTCTCTCTTCAGTTTGGCTCATAAGACTAATACTTTAAGCTTTGAAGTAAGATTGTTACTGACTTCTCACCTGGGTAAAAATCTGTGTGGTGCATCTTCTACAGTGATAAGTTATGAAGGAAGGTAAATGCCCTTCAAAAGAACTGAGACACATAAATGAACTCGTAGAGCTTAGTTTTTAGGCTATACCTGGGGAGTGTTGGGTTCTCTGAGATCTTGGAAACAGAGAAAAATTAGCTCCTGTTTCCTTGTCTCTTTTTTCCTCCTCTTGTCTTCCCCTTTCCACCCAGCTTCCTGTTTGAGCCTCCCCCATCCATTCTTAAAAGAAATGAAAAATCTTGCTGATGCTTCCGTTGTAGTCTGCCACGTAGCTAGAGGTGATTGTGGAAGCAGGCACCAAGACTTCTCCAGAGGTCTCCTTTAGCCCAGATGTTGCAGGATGAAATAACAGTTACTTTATCTCATTTTCAGAGCCCTTTCCACATGTATTATCTCACATTAGTCTCTGAGGAAAATAGTGTTAGAAGCCTGCCAGAGGAACCAGTGACTATTTCCTCTCCTTGCTGCCCCCATCCATCTTAAATTTTTAATGACAGAGTCAGTGCCGGATCCATTACCTTTCATTCATCACAGTCTTGACTTAGGATTTAGAACATGACACTTACTCCTACACATAGGTAAAATGTTCCCATTTGTTAAATGTCACGTTTCCTGAAAATATCTCTGCTGATAATTATTTACTTGCCATCTCAGACAAGATTTTATAAAACACACTTGCTACCTAGAAGTTCCACTTAATATCTGTCAGGGCTGACTTTTGTAGCAGGACCATCAGAATCAACCCAAAGTTAAATATGAATATTTACCTATAATAGGAAAAATGCAATACATTTTCATTGCTGCTGTTGCTCCCTTTCTGAAGCTATCTTTAACTACTTAGTCTTTGCTCCCCCTGCAGCTCAACACCTTTACCATAGGTTAACCCTTTCTCACCTATGTCTGGATCATGTGTCTGCAGCATATATTGCCCTGATCACATTGTATTATAATTCTTTTTCCTTTTTTTTTTTTTTTTTTTTTTTTTTTTTTTTTTTTTTTTTTTGTGAGACAAAGTCTCACTCTGTCGCCCAGGCTGGAGTTCAGTGGCCTGACCTTGACTTACTGCAACCTCCACCTCCCAGGTTCAAGCAGTCCTCCCACCTTCCTCCCAAGTAGCTGGGACTACAGGCATGCACCACCACACCTGGCTAATTTTTGTATTTTTAGTAGAGATGGGGTTTCGCCATGTTGGCCAGGCTGGCCTCGAACTCCTGACCTCAAGTGATCCACCCCCGCTCAGCCTCCCAAAGTGCTGGGATTACAGGTGTAAGCCACCACACCCAGCTGTATGTCTTGACACATCTGTCTCTTACACTACATTGTTAGCTCCTTGAGGATAATCACCATGTTGTTTGTTTTTAATTTTTGTCTCTGTGTCTGATAAATATGGACGATCCCTGTGTTTCTCTCAAATTAAAAATATCCCATGGTACCCTAGGGCCCCTTGACACTTAGTTTGGGAACCACAGTAATTGACTGAGGGAGAGAGTGTTTGACTAGGGTAGCCCAGGAAGACTTTTTGGAGTAGGTAGCATCTGAGTTGAGACCTAAATGGTAAGAAAAAGCCAACAGCCACGCTGTGAGGGTAGATAGAGTATTGTGGTCTGAAAGAGACTCGTGTGAAGGTCTAGAACAGGAAGGGGGAAGTAGAGGGGTGTGAGGTGCAGCCAGAGAGGCAGTAGGCAGGACCATGCTGTTGGAGCCCCACTGTCCCTGAGAAGGCACCTTGTGTTTCCTTCTAACTGCTGGGGGAAGCCTTTGGGGAAGGTTTAAGCAGAGGAGTGGTGCACTGAGCTATCCATTTTGAAGGGATCCTCTGGGCTCTCTATAAAGGGCCACTGTGGTGAGGGCAAGCTTAGATGCAGCAGAAACTACTAGGGGGCTAGTGCGGCTGTCCAGTTGGGAGATGATGGAGGGTTGGACTAAAGAGTGGTGGGGAAGAAGGGGGAAGTGGTCGGGTTTGGGGTCTGCTTCATCAGGAGTGTATACAGTACATGGCAGAGCTGGGTAGTTGCTGATTAAGAATTTGTGGGAATTATGATTAAATGCCTCCTCAAAAGCAGTTATTAATTCTGTTTCCTCATCATTCACTGTTCTTTCTTTTTATTCTGTGACATTGTTCCCAGGACTCTGAGAGTGTTTCTAAAGTGCTTTGGCTGGATGAGATACAGCAAGCCATCGACGAGGCCAATGCGGACGAGGACAGAGCAAAACAATGTAAGCCCTCACCTCCTTTGCTCTTGAAACTTGTCTTTTTGGATTTGGTTATGTGCCTGAAGTCATGCGATTTTTAATTTCTGGAAGATTTGGATTCTTACCAAGTTTTAGTTCTTGGACACATAATTATACCAAAATTAGTTGGTTGCCCTGTTGTCAGTGATTTGACTCTATCTCCAACAAAATTTAACAACATTGCTGAACAAAATCCAGAAGGTAAAAAATAGTTTTTAAGCTCCCAAGTTGTATAATTGAATCAAATCCTTTTTTTCTCTTGATTTTTAGAGAACTAGACCATTTCTACTTAATAGATGCCTTTTTCTCCTTTCCATGGCCTTTATCGTTACCAGGGTTTTCCATAGAAACAGAACCAATAGGAGACCTATGGAGTTGGCTAGCTGATCATGGTGCAACTAGAAGTGAAATAGACTGGCAGTCTACTCAGTTCTTACTTAATCTGTACAACTGGATGAGTTTTGACTCAAGCAAATAGAAATCTACCTTGAATCATAAAAAGAGTCATGGACCCTCAATCAGTTCCCAGAATGGGGCCAGTTTACAAATCCAGAACCCCTCAAATGAAGGGAAGGCCAGGCCCCTTGAGGAAAAACTCAGCTACACTACCAAAAATGTATACTGTTAGTCTTTCTTCCACCCCTCCCCCAAAGGGACCTATGGCCTTTTACCAGGGTGACTGTACTTAGGAGAAAGGACATAATCAGACTTTTGGGGATTAGTGGACATTTGCTCTGAACTGACACTAATTCCAAGGGGCCCAAAACATAACTGTGGTCCACCAGTCAATGTAGGGGTTTATGGAGGTCAGGTGATCAATAGAATATTAGCTCAGATCCGTCTCACAGTGGGTCCCTAAACCCCTTCTGTGGTTACTTCCCCAGTTCTGGAGTACATAATTGGAATAGGTATAATCAGCAACTGGCAGGATCCCCACATTGGTTCAAATGATAAAATTGTTTAACCCTCTATTTTTAAGGAAGAATAATATGAAAATTCACATGATAGTCTGAAATAGCTTCTAAATTGCTATACTCACATTCTCCATATATAAATTAAGATTCCTAAAAGAATATTTCATTAACCTGCCAACTCATGGCATAATTAGAATCTATTCTGTTGTATCAGGTCCGAGAAGGTTCTTAAGATGACTTTGTGTTACTCCACAGATGGGCTTTTCAACCTCGGAAGCATCTGTGAGAAACATCTGGGCTTTATTTCCTTAGCTTAGAAAAATGTGTGTATTTCTCTAACCTGAACTTTTATTCCCTAAGGAACTTTGAAGTCTTTCCTTTGTAGCACGCCTTAAGAAAAAAAATAATAAAGTGGAGGTGTGTATATAAGAAATTTCAACTTAAATATAAAACTGAAGGAAGCCATAGTCTGAAGAGACACTTTTGAGAAATTCGATTGTAATTTAGACATTCAAATAGCCTAAAATGGTTATGATTTGTCTCTTAGAAATCAAACCAATTTAGAAGGTTGTTAAAATTTTCTTATATTCATTGTTCTTACATTTGGCCTGTAAATGTTAAGTTGATTCTGTTTTTCACATGGAGATTCATGGTACTATTGACTATAAAAGTAAGAGGTTTTCTCAAATGTATGATTTTGTACTCTATACTTGCACATCTAAAATCCTATCTTTTCCCTCTGTCCTGTCCCTTAGAGGAGCTGATATACTTTCTTTTACTACATATAACAGCAAAAAAGATTTTCCAAAGTTAATACTACCTATGAGAGTTTTCTGACTTTCAACAAGAATTTAACCTTTTAAAAACATTAAATAGATTCTGGTCACACACTATAAGCATCAAACACACTCTCAGATAATATGATAAATGAAAATGTGTTGGCCCAAATATGTTACCATCAGCAAAACTTAAAAGGGCAGAATAACTCAAGTCCCTTTCATTTTGGCCCAGTGTTCACATTCACTGGAGTATCTTGCTTGCTGAAAGTAGATTTGCCTCTACTTTTGATTCCTTAGAGCAATCTTTCTTTACCTTTTTCTCATTATGGCACCCTAAAGAATCTTTTTAGACAGTTTTTTCTCTAATCACTCCTTACCATGAAATTTTAGTGCCACAGATATATTGTATACCTGTTTGTGTGCCATATGTAGACCTGTACTTTATACATAAAGAGATTTTTTTCACTCTCTCCCTGCAGAAACCAATTTTTGCCCCGTTAGGGGTTATATCACCTCCACTATGAATGTGTACCTTAAGAGAGCCTGCTGGTGTATGGCTTAAGATGTAAAGCAAACATTTTTTGGATCTCTTAGGAGA